GCTACAGTACACACGTGCAGCCATGCATATGCTCATACAATAATAAATAACTTTTAAAGCTGGTTGTCTAGGCTTTCTTCTCATTGATACTTTAAGACGTAACTGATAACACTTTCAAAAGAGTTACTTCCTCCAAGAGACTGCTAATATTCACCTTGTATAGATGTGTAGATGATTGTACTTCACAAACAGGCCCTCCTATTCCTCTACAGACACCATTAAGATGGCAGAGTGCTTCACACCTGTAATCTCAGTACTTGGGAAGCAGAGGCTCCCCCTGAGTTTGAGACCCTTTGGGGCTATATAATAAGACCCTGTCTCAAAAAAAAAAAAAAAAAAAAAAAAAAAAAACTGACAACTGGGAGGTAGAAGCGAAATTGTTAGGAATTGCAAATCATCCTAGACCATATAGTAAGTCTGAGGTAAGCTGGGATGCATAAGGCCCAAGCCCTCCCCACCACAGTCCAAGTGCTTGGGAGGCAGAAGCAGTAGGATCAAGAGTTCTAGATCATACTCATTTTCATGTGGTTAGGTTGGGCTACATGAGATCTCATCTCAAAACTCAAGAGGACACTATGTAAGTAAGCCACAGCCTGGGAGAAGATATTTGCAGTACGTTAACAAAGGTTTTATGCTCAAAATATATGAAGATGGTTAAAGACACCTAGTAGAAATAGTCACAATGCCTCTGATGTGCTAAACGGGCATTGCACATGTTACCAGTAAACATAAAAGGGCTTCATATCATGGAAAATCAGAGAAATAACAATTAGCATCACACTTTAGCCTCTTGTCTACTTACAGATGGCTAATGTGGCAGCAGGACCAGAGGCTTACACAGAGATGAAGTGGCTGCAGGTTGATTAGCATGTTTTGGAAAGCAGGTGGTATCTTATAGGTTGAATTGCTGCATATGATTCAGGAACTTCACATCTGGGCTTATACATGGCATAAACACACACACACACACACACACACACACCTACCTCACATCTTTTAACAGCAGTGTCAAACAACCCTAAAGTTTCAAATAAAACAAATAAGATTAGGTGTGATGGTACATACTATAATTTCTATACTTGGAATGCCAAGGCAGAAAGTTTCCTGCAAGTTTTAGAATGGCCTAATCTACACAGTGAGGCCCTGCTTCCAGAAAACTAAAGAAGGAAAGACTAGAACATTTCTACTACAGAAATCAGTGTACATCGGTGTAAATAAGCAAACAACACCTGAATAGACTTTATAAACATAATGGTGAAAAAGCCAAATGAAGTATAATACATAGGACATAATGCTGTGTCTATGCCAGGCTTTAAATGTTACATATAACACACAAGAAGTAAAATTGTGAGTCGGGGTAAACTGTGAGATTGATAATGACTTCAAATTATTTCATTTCAATGTGGTGGTCATCTATCTTGGCTATACATTAGGAATAGAAGGGAACTTCAGAAACAAAAGCTGATTCTCATACTCTAGAAAGAAAAGACAATTGCCATGTAATCTAGCAGTCCTGCTACTGTACTCTGGTTATACATAACCAAAATTTCTTTAAAAAGGAAGACACGGAACAAGTCTTACAATACTTGTGTGTTCATTGAGCGCTGTGTATATTCTCCAAAAGGTGAAAGTGACCTGTTTGATGCTGGTGGAAGTAAACAAAATTCAGTACCTAAAAAGGAATGTCCCTCAGCTTTAAAAGGAAAGAAGGAAGTGGTTAGAAAGATGGTTTAATAGTAAAAAGTTCTTAGCTAGGCGGTGGTGGCACACACTGTTAAGAGTTCTGCCTGAGTGCTGGGATTAACACAGTTCTGGTATACAGAGTGGGTTCTAAAACAGCCAGAGCTATATAGAGAAATGCTGTCTCAAAAAACAAAAACAACAAAAAACAGTTCTTGGTTCTTGCTACACTTCCAGAGTTCAATTCCAAGCCCCCTTGTCAAATGGCTAATCAACCATGCCTTCTTGCCCTTTTCTGAGGGCCTCTGAGGACACCTGCACATTTGTCTACATACTCAAATACACACCTGAATATAAATAATAAAAAATATAAATGCAAATTTTAAAAGGAAGGAAACTGAGACTGGAGTCACATGTAGCTCAGTTTGAACTCCACAAAAAGTGTGTGGGAATGGGGGAAGCTAGCACACACCAATGACCTCAGTTTGCTCCTCTCCTCCCTTTCCCTCCCCTGACTTCCGTCTACCCTCTCTTCCCCATCCACTCCTCCATATCCATTCAGAAAGGGGTAGGCCTCCCATGGGCTTGCACAAAACATGACACATCAAGTTGAGGTAGGACCTAGCTCCTCCCCCTGCATCAAGGCTGGGCTAGGTAATTCAGCATGGGAAAGATGTCCTGATCTCACTGCTAGGAGCCTTAAAAAGTTACCAAGCTACACAACTGTCACACACATGCAGAGTTCGGTCCCAAGGTGGCTCCCTAACTGTTAGTCCATGAGCTCCCGTGTGCTCAGATCAGCTGACTCTGTGGGTTCCTCTATCATGACCTTGATCACCCCAGCTATTACAATCCCTCTTTCTTCAGCAGGACTCCGGGAGTGCTGCCCAGTGCTTGGCTGTGGATCTCTGCATCTGCTTCCATCAGTTACTGGATAAAGGCTCTCTGATGACAATTAGTGTAGTCACCAGTCCAATCACAGTAGATGGCCAGTTCAGACACCCTCTCCACTATTGTGCTCTGAGTCTTAGTTGGTATCATCGATGTATATTCCTGGGGATTTCCCTGGCACCAGGTTTCTCCCTAATCCTGAAATGCCCCCCATCAAGAGTCTTATGATTCTCCCCCTCAGTCCTGCCCCCAATCCACCTCCCATACCCAGCAGGCCCAGTCTGCTTCCTTCAGTTCACCTCCCCACAACCTCAGCACCCCTGCCCCCAGTTTACCCAGGAGATCTATTTCCCCTTCCAGGGACAACCATGCATCCCTCTTTGGGCCCTCCTTGTTATCTAGTCTCTTTGGCGATGTGGATTGTAGGTTGGTTATCCTGTACTGTACTCCTAATATCCACTTATGAATGAGTACATTCCATGTTTGTCTTTTGGGGTCTGGGTTACCTTGCTCAGAGTGATTTTTCCTAGTTCCATCCATTTGTCTGAAATTTTCATGAGGTCATTGTTTTTTAGAGCTGATTAGTACTCCATTGTGTAAAAGTACCACATCTTTGGTTGAGAGGCCCCTAGGTTGTTTTCAATTTCTGGCTATTATGAATAATGCTGCTATGAACATAGCTGAGCAAGTGGCAGGACCCCTATTTCAAAGGAGATTGAGGGAAAGAAAATCTGACATATTCTGTAAACATGGACGAACCTTGAGGATTTTCAACTAGGTAAAATAAACCTAGTTTGTAAGTGTAATTTATAAGTGTAATGTCCCTGAAAGGTGGCTCCTCAGGTAAATGTGTTTGCTGCCAAGCAAACTTGAGTTTGATCCCTGGGACTCACATGGTAGGAGAGAAATGATGACTTCCACATGTGCGCACATACACACACACACACACATCACACACCACACCCCCACATATACAACACATACACCACATACCATACATCACACACCACACCCCACACACACACACACCACACACCATACTCACATACCACACATACACACACATCACACCCCACACACACACACCACACACCATACTCACATACCACACATACACACACATCACACACCACATCACACACACACACATCACACCCCCCCACACACACACATAAATGTAACTATAAAAATAGAGTGAATGCTGTGGTTCCACATATGTCGAGAGTGCTGTGTCATAGAAACAAGAGTGAGCATTAGCATTAGGTCTGGTGCTGCAGGCCATAACCATGGCTACTGAAGAAACCAAGGCAGGAGCATCAGTTCAAAGCTCTGCTGAATGTAGAGAAAGACCTTGTTTCCAAAATAATGACAGAAATAGGAGTAGTAGATGCCAAGGGTGGGGGAAGACAAGAATTGGTGGAGTGGGGGTTGTTTAATGGATGTAGGATTTGATTTTTGTAAAATAAATACATATTGGAGACTGGTTACAGAAAAGCCTGAATATATGCAATAATATGGAACTATGGAACTAAGGATTTAAAATAGCTAAGGTGGATTTCACCACAAGTAAAATAAGGGTATGTAATCACAAGGCAGCAGTGGCAAACCATCATTGATTTCATGCATGTGGCTCCTGGCTTAGTTTTAACAGGTCTAGAAGTGAACAATTAGCCACTTGTCATTTTGCTTACTTACATGAGGAACTGTGTGCACATTCCTAGCATCCATACTCTATTTCTGTATGTAGTGATAATGTGGTCCAGGCATCTCAGATATAACAGTGTGTGCCAAAGAGCTGCATCAAAACACTAGGCATTTTTATTCCTAATGCATTTGTTTTCCACTTTATTTTGTTTTAGTTCTTACTGTTGTTGGTGTTGAGGATTGGACCAGGACCTTGTCCTGACTAAGCCCATGTATTGCCACTGAGTTATGCTCCCAGGCCCTATGAATTGGGTTTATTTGTGTCTCTGTGTGTGCTTGTGCCACAGAGCATAAATGGGGATCAGAGGACAAGTGTCAAGAGTCAGTTCTGTCCCATAGTGTGGAACTCAAGGATCAAATTCATGTCATCAAGCTTGCCAGCAAGTGTATTTATCTACTAAGCCATCTTGATGGACAAAACATTGGTTTTAGACCTAGTTATTTCATGTATGTGTACAAGTATGCATGCAAAGGCCAAATGACAACTTACGAGTGTTGATAAATTGGAATTTTAAATAAATGACTTTATTTAAATTAGTGAGAAAATTTGGGGGAGGGCTAGCCAAAAACCCTTTGCACTTTCCCCTACATTCAGTGAACAATTGCATTATGTCTATTCCCCAATGGTCCCTTTAACACTCCTATTTCCCCCACATTCAGTGGACAACCACAGGGTGTCTATTCCCCAGTGGTCCTCTAATACTCCTGCTGCTTCTTTTTATTAGGAATTTGTAGACTTTTCCTGCTAAGACCTCAATTTGTATTTTTGAAGAACAGAAATTCTGTGAAGTGTGGAAATAATTTAAACCATCTAAGACTAAAACATACATAATGAAACAATGTATACTATTTGCATAAAGAGGTTAGTATTTGTTAAAAATTTGTCATTTGTTCTTTTGTTCCTGGCCTAAGATGAGGTGGGGGGTTTTAGAGGACGGGATATTTTTGTTTTTGAGACAGGATTTCACTGTGTAGCCTTGGCTGGCCTAGAACTTCCTCTGTAGACCAGGCTGACCTTGAGCTTACAGAGATCCACCTGCTTCTGCCTCCTTAGTGCTAGGACTAAAGGTGTGCGCCACCATGCCTGGATATTTGTAATCATACATTTAAACAACTAAAATGTGTTTTGAAATAGAGTAACTTAGCTGCCTGTGATTGTTGTGCCTGAGACCCTAACACTCAGGAGGCCAAGCAGGAAAGTCTTGTCTGAGGCTGTCCTGGACTACATACAAAATAAGACATGAGACCCTGCCCCAAAACAATAACAGTAGAAGCAACACAAAGCCAGGCATGGTGGTGGTCTATGTAGTGAGCTCCAAGCTCAGAAACAAAGTGAGATCCTGACTCCAAAATCCAGAAAACAATATAACAAAAGCCACTCTTTCTCTTGAATAAATCCTCTGGACTCTTACAAACAGCAGTTTTTAAAGTACTCAGTTTTGTATTTTTCAGGACACGTACTTATAGGCAACGTTAGAATCCCAGGATCTGAAGCAGTCGATAATGTCTCTGCCAAGTCGACAGACAGCAATTGTTAACCCCCCTCCACCAGAATACATAAATGCTAAGAAAAATGGGCGCCTGACCAATCAGCTGCAGTTTCTACAGAAAGTTGTCCTGAAGGCTCTGTGGAAGCATAGTTTCTCGTGGCCTTTCCAACAGCCTGTGGATGCTGTAAAACTGAAGTTGCCTGTAAGCATTTTATGACATGTTAAGTGTGTATGTGTGTGTGTGTGTGTGTTTACATTTCAAGATGCATGTGGAGATCAGAGGACAACAACTTGGGAGCATCAGTTCTCTCCTACCCTGGGTTCCAGGGATTGAACTCAGGTTGTCAGACCCATAGGGTGAGCACTTTCACCTGCTGAGCCATCTCACTGGCTCAGAGCTCAGGTGAGTCCTAAAGCAAAATGGATCAGAATGGAGCAAACCTAACATTAAGATAACAATAAGGTTTTTATATGCAGCCTATATTTTTGCCTTAAGTACCCAAGTAGGAATATGTATTTGAAATATAGGAGAACTATCAACAAGATGCAACAGCCAAATTCACTTTGCCTGCAGGCATCAGATCCCCACCCTACCCACCCAACTGCACAGGGTCTCTTGTAAAGCAATGGAATGGAAGGGATCATGGAGGGTGCTGTCTTAGAAGCAGCTACAAAATTTTTTAGGATAGAAATTCTAACCCTGTTTAAAGCCCTTCTCAGAGAATGCTGGGAAGTCCAGGTTGATAATTTCCCTTCAGAGATAAGCTTTGGAGGAAGCAATTTTAAAGTCTTAAAGACTGTATTGAAAAGCATGGACGCTCATAGGTTAGAAGACAATGTCCAACTTTTTGCTGCTGTACTATACATGCCAGGTTAGCTGGCATAGCCCTGCCCTGCCCTGCCCTGCCCTGCCCTGCCCTGCCCTGCCCTGCCTCCCACCTCACCACAGGAGTTCTGTGATTACAGATGTGCACCATCACAGCTGGTTTTTTTGTTTGTTTGTTTGTTTGTTTTTTGTTTTTTTGTTTTGTTTTTGTTTTGTTTTGTTTTGGTGTGGTTCCTGGGGATCAAGCTCAGACCATCGGGTTTTCAAAACTAGTGCTTTTACCAAGCCATCTCCCTAGTACATACCCTGTTAGTCTCATTGTTTGTTTGTTTGGGTATTTTCAATTTTAAAGAGAAAAATTCTACAACTATAAGAAAAGATTATTTGGGGCTGGAGAGATGGCTCAGCCACTAAGAGAAATGACTGCTCATCCAGAGGACCTGGATTCAATTCCCATCATCCACATGGTGGCATTCACTGTCTGTAACTCCAGTTCCAGGGATCTAGTGAGAACTGGTGGGAATGACAGGGATGCAATGCCCCCTTCTGGTCTCCACTGGCATCAGATACACATGTGTTCCACAGATATACATGCAGGCAAAGCACCCATACACATAAAATTTTTAACTCAATCTTTAATATTATAAAATATACATAATTAGACACTTGATTATTTAACACCCCTGAAGACTGTCCTGAGTGTTCTCTCCTACTTCCAAACTGAAAATTAATGTTTTGAACGTTGGCATTCTTATTTTAACAGTGTTTAATAACAGTGTAAAGCTTGCCATAGCATGCCATGGCAGCTTTCTGGTTAAGAGTAAGTGCCACTTCACCACCTCTGAGAAGGCTTCCTTACACTGCTTAGCACTCTTACTCATGTCACATATCACATTCATCTTTAGGTTTCACTTGAAGTTTTTAATCATGTAGTACCAGAGCTACCTAGGGCGCAGTCACTGAGTCAGGGAACAGAACTTTCCTCTGAACCTGTCAGATTCCATAAATTCTCTTCTCTTCTTTCTACATTTTTCCCAATAATAAATGTTTTAAATCTTGTCTTTGCCAGTCTCTTAATTTTTTCCATTATTTGTTTGAATATGAGCATGTACATAAACCACGGACAACTTTGGGAGTCAGTTGTCGCTGCCACCATGCAGGTCCTGGTTGAGCTGAGTGTGGCAAGCACATTTACCCTCTGAGCCACCTTATGATCACGGGCTGTGTCAGCCTTGAGAGACCTTTCCTTTACTCTGGAAAGTGACACTGACAACTAGCTCCAGTTGTCACCAGTGAAGGCTCTGGCCTTCAGGTTGTGCCTCTAACAAAAGGTAACCATATGTACTCCTTAGTTAGAAGTTTACAGTTCATGAATGGTTAATCAATAGTTGTTATGTGTGGTTGTACCACACTGAACCCAAGGCCTTAAGCATACTAAACAAGTACATCTGCTACTGAGCTACACCTCCAGTCTGTTTATTATTACTATTATTAATTTATTGTGGTGCTGAGGATGGAACCCAGGGTCTTGTGCATGTTATATGAGCTGTCTACCACTGAACTACACCCCCAGCCTCATTCTCATAACTTCTTCAAACCTGTAGGACTATTATACCATCATAAAAACCCCAATGGATTTAAATACAATTAAGAAGCGGTTGGAAAATAAGTATTATTTGAAGGCTTCTGAATGCATAGAAGATTTCAATACAATGTTTTCAAACTGTTATTTATACAACAAGGTATGTAAACTTATATTACACTGCCTATTTGCTGTTATATATACAAAAATGTATTATAAGTGTTATGATTTCAGATTCCACTCCTGATTAGGAACAGTTGATATGTTGTTTTGGAGAAGAGGGGCAGTTTCCATGTGCAGTGGGAGCTGCCCTCCAGGTCTTTCCTGCCTCAGCCTCTAGAGCACTCAGGTTATAGGCATGTACCCTCATGCTCGGCTTGTGTGTTTTTATTAGGTGTGCTGTTTTCTAATATTTGTTTCTTTCCTATAAGTGTGTGAGCTTGGGTAGAGGCCAGGGGACAGCTTTCAGGAGTTGGTTCTCTCCTTCTATGGGTTATGGGTTGGAACTAGGGTCATTAGGCTTATAAGGCAAGTGTTTTGCCCCCTCACTGACCCCAATTTGAATTTGCATATTGTTTCTCATTGGATTTCATAATTTTCATATTTCAGTCTATTTGCTTAATTTTTCTTAGCCCATTGACTGTATTTTTGCCTGGATAGCTGAAATGCTCTATGCTTAAAAAATATCAAAAATTAGACTGGTAACTCACTTATAACCCAGTGAGGCAGGAGGATTTTGTGAATTTAAGGGCACTTAGGTACAGTGTGAGCCCTGTCTTGGTCTGGCTCTCTGTGGTCCTCTTGTTTTAATTATGAGTGATAACCTGGTGACACATTTAATACAATCTTTCTTAAATTTCCTGCCCAGTGCCTAAGTAGCAGACTACATTATGTCCTTTGTAGTGCTGAGGACTGAGCCCATCAAAGTGGAGTAGTCATCTTTCCAGGGCATCCGTCAGGCGTTTTCAGTGTCGGGCGGCTGCTGCTCTTTAAATTTACTTTGTGATTGCTGTTTTCTTCAGCAGTGAGGCATGGAGAGCCCAGTGTACATGGGCAGGAGTTGAGTGGCCTCAGACTATGAAATGTTTTGCACCAGAGGAGCAAATTGCTAACACCTTTTTGTATTGCTGGATTGCTTAGATTGCATTTCTGTGACATTCAGAAAAATCACTCTGATCCTTTTTAAAAGACAAGATGTGCTAGAATTTAAGCACTTTTCTGCTCCACTGTGTTGTAAATAAAGGAGATAAGTCCTGTCTGAGTGCGGTGGCACCTTTCTGTGAGGAAAGGTGGTGCCGCAGTCACCCAGTGTGTCTCAGCATATCTTCAACGTGTTTTCTAGCCTGGAGATGACATTGTTCTTATGGCCCAAGCCCTAGAGAAGTTATTTCTGCAGAAATTATCTCAAATGCCACAGGAAGAGCAAGCCGTGGGCGGAAAAGAGAGAGTGAAAAAAGGTGAGACCAGAGTGTGTGCGTGTCTACATGTGTTTGCACCAAACAAGTAAAAACAAGTTCCTTCAAGGGACATAGATGTGTGTGGAAGTCCTTTTATATACAATTCTTTTGGAACAGCATTTAAACAGACTCCTCCACCTTAATTACAAGGCTGGCTGTCATGCAAAAGTGTAGCCATGTTTCATGTCACATGATATATTTATCTATTTACTATTCTCAGTGGTTCTTGTTCTGTGTGATTTGTGAATAAGAGGACACAGACTGTCAAAAGGACTGTAGCTAAGATTGAAATGCTATTGGGTTTAAGATTCTGTTTCTCTCCCCTCTAATTGAAAATATTTTACTGATTGAGCTGTCTACCTTACCGGTTTTTTTGTTTGTTTGTTTTGTTTTTTTGTTTGTTTGTTTTTGTTGTTTCTCAAGACAGGTTTTCTCTGTGTAGCCCTGGCTGTCTTGGAACTCATTCTGTAGACCAGGCTGGCCTCGAACTCACAGAGATCCACCCACCTCTGCCTTCCTGAGTGCTGAGATTAAAGGGGTGTGCCACCCACCTGGCTTCAATTTAACTTTTCCAAAATTAAATTTTAGAGATTTTGATGTTTGGGGGTTTTCAGCTTTAAGGACTTTGATCTCTTGGATTTCAGCATCTTGGACCAATTAGGACCAGATTGTCAGCACCAGTGTGCTGGGCTTACTTATTTTGCCAACTGAATTAGAGTAGAGTAGGAAGTAGGAAATGGTGTTGTGTACTTATCAGGTGTTTGACTCTGGTTTACACTTCCTAGATACTCAACAACAGACTCCGTCTTCCTCTGCTAAGGATCAAATACTCTCCAAAGCCAAAGTGGCAGAAAATGTTTTTAAGCAGCAAGAGATTCCTTCTGGATTTCCCGAGATTGCCCTCTCTCCCTTAAACATGATACAGGAAGCTCTCCCAACCTCTGACTCACAGACTGTGGTTCAAGTAAGTTGTGTGTGTGTGTGTGTGTGTGTGAGAGAGAGAGAGAGAGAGAGAGAGAGAGAGAGAGAGAGAGAGAGAGAGAGAGAAGTGTGAGTGTGTGTATGTGTGTATATATGCCTAGGAATATAAATCACATGTGTATGGGTTATCTTGGAGGATAGAAGAGGTGTAAAACCCCTGAAGCTGGAGTCACAAGCAGTTTTGAGCCTGATGTGGGTGCTGGGCATGTTGTGGACAAAGACCTAGTATTAACCAAGTTTTAGAGATTTCTTAAGTAGAATTTGAACCATTTTAGTATCTTGATAATATTGCTACCAGAAGCTGTGTGCTTGGACCCAGGTATAGTCCTATAGTGCTAACATTAGAAAGATTAAGGCAGGGGTCACAAACTGGAGAGCAGTCCCAATACATTGTAAGTTTGAGGGCAGCCTGAGCTTCAGAGAAAGCCCTCTCAAAAACAAGAAGAATGAGTTATCCATGGTTGCATTGGTGTTCTTTTGTTTTTCTTTTAATGTTAGCAATTAAAACTGTACATCGTTTTTTGTTTTGAGGCAAGATCTCATTATTAGTGGACCCTTTTATCCTGGAATCCTCACTCTGTGCCTCAAGCCTACCAAAATTGTGTGCCATGCCACCATATCTGGCACACACACACATATATGTGTGTGTGTGTGTGTGTGTGTGTGTGTGTGTGTGTGTGTGTGTGTGATTAGTTTGTGCTTTAAAATTGTATATCTCAGCTAATTTCATGTACTCAGAGACATTATTGCTGTAACTATCCTTTGATTTTTCCATCTTTCATCTATCTTTAAGATTTGTGCAAGATTGTTCTTTGGGTTGTGGGAGGGGAGCATCAGAGCTATTTGTTCTGTCTATAAAAAGGGAATTAAACTTGACTAATATTAATTCATGGACTGACAGAACTTTGTGAAAAGCCTCTCATAGAAACTTGGTGTCAGTAATGTTTCTTTTGTTTTATCAATGGATGGTACCTCCTTAAGGGTCACTTCTTGTTGAACTGTTCTTCAGATCACAAAGGGTGTGAAGAGGAGAGCAGACACAACAACTCCTACCACTTCCATAGTTAAAACAAGTAGCAAGTCTCCTCCAACACTCAGAGACTCAAAGCCTGTGAATATGCCAGGAAAAGAATATACACTGAAGAATGTTTTGCCAGACTCTCAGCAGCAACACAGAGTTTTAAAAACAGTCAAAGTAACTGAGCAATTAAAGTACTGCAGTGAGATTCTTAAAGAAATGCTTGCAAAGAAACATTTGCCATATGCATGGCCCTTCTATAACCCTGTGGACGCTGATGCTTTGGGACTCCACAACTACTATGACATTGTCAAAAACCCCATGGACCTCGGCACTATCAAGGTAACATACTGCCTGAGTGGGAAGAGCTTGCTTTTCTTTTCTTGATTATAAATTTCTTCATCATTGCAAAGAAAGCTAATCTAATGTCCAGAAAATTGTGAAGAAAATTACATCACCAGAATTCTAGCACCTGAAGTGGATCATTGGGACGTTTTAAATACATTTTATTTTTTGTAAACATATCCACTTGACAGGCCAGTGGAGATGGAACTAGGGCCTCAGTCTTGACAGCATCTTCTCAGCCCTGGTTCTCTTCTAAAGCACAGTTTTGTTCCATCATTTTTATCAATATAGTAAAGTTTGTTAACATGCTACTAAACTTTGTGTTTGCCCTCATTTCTTGTATTCTGCTGTCCCCTTCTGAATTTGTTCTGTTGACATTCAAATTCAGTAGTCACTCTTTAAAGATTCATAGATATCAAATTCAGTTTATATATAAAAGAATAATGAATGATTCTTTAATTGAATATAGAATTCAGAACGACAGTCATTTCCTCTCAACACTTGGAGAACATTCTGGTATCTATCTGCTATCAAGCAACTTGTCATTCCTTTGTACATAATTTATCTTCCTCCCTCTAGCCAGCTTCTGATTTTTCCATCTTGTACTAGAAATTAACCTTTTTTAAGTCTGAGGATCCATGTCATAAGTTTTTAACAGTTATGTCTTAAAATAGTACATTTTTTTTCTTTCTCACATAAGCAAACTCAGACCCAGAGATTAAAGAGTACTATCTGGTCAGGCGGTAGTGGTGCATGTCTTTAATCCCAGCACTCTGGAGGTAGAGGCAGGTGGATCTCTGTGAGTTTGAGGCCAGCCTGGTCCACAGAGTAAGTTCCAGGACAGCCAAGGCTACACAAAAAACAAACAAACAAACAAACAAAAACAAAACAAAAACCTTGTCTTGAAAAAGGAAAGAAGGAAGGAAGGAAGGAAGGAAGGAAAAAAAGAAAGAGTGCTATCTTAAATAGCCACATGTGGAGATAAACAGGAGTTTGTAGCTATAGGGTATTTCAAGTGGAGAAAGTAAGTAACTTGCAGAAATGCCAGGAGATAAAACAATTCAAAACAGTGTCTCTGTAAGAACTTGTGTATGTGGAGAATGTGAAGGAAACCTGGGTCTTAAGAAAGCCCACTATGGGGACTCAAAGAAAAACACCCATTAAACATAATTCATGACCTTACGTCTCCAGTAGCTGTGTACACACCAGTTAGAAGGCTGTTAGAGGGCTTCAGGAACAGGTGATGGTGACTTTAATTCATCTCTTAACTCATTCTCAGTTGTCACTGATGTGATTGGTAGAAAACAACATTCTCAGGGAGGGAGAGATGGCTCACTTGTTAAAGGCACTTACTGCTCCCATATAGTGGCTTTCAGCTGTCTTTAATTGCAGTCCAGTGCCTTCTTCTGGCCTCCTTGAACACCAAACATGCACATGGTATTGTGGTGATATTTTGTTTATGGTCTAACAAATAAAGCTTTAGATCAGAGTGCAAAGCAGCCACACTAGTTAGCCATAGAGGCCAAGCAGTGGTGATGCACATCTTTAATCCCAGCACTTGCAAGACAGAGGCAGATGGATCTGTTAGCTCAAGACTATCCTGGGCTACATGAAATTGATCCAGTATAAGAGAAACAGTTCACACAAAGGTGATCCCTGTACTTGGAATGACAAGCCTTTAATCCCAGCACTAAGGAGGCAGAGACAAGAAGGGATATGGCTGGGTGGAGAGAGGACTATAAGGCAGGAGACAGGAGTTCATTAAAGTCTAGGCAGTCGGTCTGAGGATGGAGACAGGACTGCCCATTCAGTCTGAGGTAGAAGTAAGAGCTAGTGGCCGGCTGCTTTGCTTCTCTGATCTTCAGGCAAGCTTTATTTGTTAAATCATAAAATATCACCACGTGATATACTGACATTCATGCAAGGAAGACACCTATATACATAAAGTTTTAAAAGAAAATTAACAAGGCATGGTGGTGCACACTTTCAATCCTAATATTCAGGAGGTGGAGGCAGGCAGATTTCTATGAGTTCAAAACCAGCCTGGTCTACAACGACAGCCAGGGCTACATCTTAATTTTCATTTTCTGCCCCAGGCTGGCTCATGATCCACCTCCTCAGCCTGGTGAATGGGGTGGGGGAGAGGGGTAGACCTACAGGATGTGCCACTACACCTGACCTTGAGTTCTTTGATTTCAAATGAGCCTTGAGTAATTCACCTATTCATTGGGCTGTGAGTTATCCAATAATGCACACATTTTGATCAATGGTGTGTAGGATTTCCTTTCTGGTTTTTTCTGTCTGTAATGTCTACTCTACATACCACCCTCTTCTGCAGCTGCCTTAACCTGTAACCCTTGTCTGTTACTCTCCTGATTGCTTTTAACATCTTTTCATTGCTTTCTTACTATAAAGCTTCCCAGCCTAGACAGTCTGGAAACACTGTTTTCCCGTCCATTTTGCCTTGAATGCTTCTTTGTTCTCTTTGCATGTAAACATTCATTGATTTCTTTTCCAAGTGTAAAGTTTGATAAATAGCACTATGTTTGATATTTGGGTTTTTAAAGGTAAACACCCTCCCTCCTTCCCTCTTTCCATGTGTTTGCTTTCTGGTTAGCATATGAAGAAATGGTTCCTGTGACTCTTTCCTTTGTTCATTGGTTTGTTGAAACAGGGTTTTGTGTAACCCAGGCTGACTTCAAACTTGTATAACTGAGAAGGACCTTGAACTGATGATGATCCTCCTGATTCTACCTCCCAAGAGCTAAGTTTACACACTTGTGCATCAAGTTGGCTCTGACATTTTCAGACATAGCCATCACTATACTTTGCTTGCACCCCTGTACCACTCCATGACTTCTGTTTCTCACCCCTTTATTCCCTCTTTCCTTTCCTGTGACATATTATATTCCATTACCTTCTAGTGTTTGTTATTATTAATTCAGGCATCTGTACTGCCTGTCCTTGGGGTTCTGACAGGACACACCCTCTGCTGCAGCCATGCAGCTGTGCACATTCACAACAATCCCTTTAAAAGGGCCCTGCCTACCTCCCATCTTCCTCTCCCCTCCCCCCCTCTCCTCTCTCCCTCTGCTCCTGTACCCCTTTTTATGATCCCTTTCCCTAATTAAAAAAACAACAAAACAAAAAAACCCTCCACTTGAACTCTGTCACATGACATCTTTCTCTCTTGTGCCACTTTATTTTTTTTTTTTAATAACAACATTGTGGCCTTCAATCTCTCTTTAGTTCCTTTCTACTTTCCTACTGTACATATACACATGAATGAATACAAATTTAAATCTAGATTCCTCGTGTGAGAGAAAACATATTTCTCTTTCTGAATCTTTCTGTTCATTTTCCTTCAAAACTTATAATTTCTTTCCTCTTTCGAGATGAATAAAATTCTGTTATGTGTGTGCCACATTTTCTTCAGTCATCTGTAGGTGAACATGTCAGGTGACTCCTCATCTTGTCTCACAGAATGGCAATCATCCTGAATGGGGAGCATCTTTGTACTCATATGCTGGCCATGGGTGGCCGTTCTCTTTTTGTTTTTTAAGGAAACTCTATACTGACTTCCAGAAAGCCTATACCAATTTACATTTCCACCAGCAACATGTAAGAGTTGTTATTTTCCTGTGACTTTCCCAGCATATGCTGGATTATAGCCAGTCTGACTGGGTAAGATAGAATATCCATGGAGTTTTGCTTCCTCGGATGGATAAGGACATTTGTTTTTCTACCTTTAAGAACTGTCCATTAAATCACTAGTCTGTTTGTTTGAATTGATGTGAGGGGTTTGTTTTGTATACATATATGTGTAGGGGGGAGACTATAGAGTCTAGCACTAACCCTCTGTCTAATGGCCTGCCTGGTCACTCCATTTCATGGGGCATCTCTTCTCTGCTGAGTCTCTGCTTCACAGAGTTCTGACACCACACAATACAAATCATCCACTCTTGCTTTTTATTTATTGAGCTGTTGAAGTACTTTTTTTCAGAATGCATTTTATGGTTATATTTTGAAGTGGGATTCCCCCAGCCCTACACACACACACACACACACACACACACACACACACACACACACACAGGATTTCTTTCTCTGTAAGTTCATTATTGCTGTGCTAGAAACACTACTGGTTTTGTATACCTCTGCTGTATCCTGCTGCATTGCTTAGAGTATTTATGAGGGCTGAAGGTTTTCTGGTAGAGTCTTGAGGGTCTTTAAGTATAGGATCATGTAATCTACAAGTAGGGACACTCTGACCCTCCCTTCCCTACTTGTACCTGCCTTATTTCCTTCTCCGATTACTGTAGTAGCTAAGGTTCAAGTACTATATTGAATGGGAGTGAAAAGAGTGGGTTCCTTTGTCTTCTCCTGATCTTATTGGAAATTCATTGTTTCCCTATGTAGTATGAAGCTGGTTGTAGGCCTATTGTACTTTATATGTTGGGTTATCCCTCCCTTCTTAGTGTCTTCTGGGATTTTACCATGTTGATCTTTGCCCACGGCTTTCTGTCTCTTGAGATGAACATATGGATTCCTCATCCTTTTTACTTTTTCCTGAGTTGCTGTGATTGACTCCTTTGTTTCTATGTTTTCATGTCTTCCTTAAGGTCACAGAACATTTCACTAGTAAACGTTTGAAATCTTCATACAGTGTTTACCCCCTTCAAGTGTCTTTGAATTCAACAGCTGAGGAAAGTGTCAGTCTTTTTGGAGACGTATGTCACTTGCTTTCTACTGGTTTTGTGAGACTGTGTGTCTCTGTGTATCAAGATTTGTACATCTGTTTGTTTAGTGTCTGTTGAGTTTAATTTGGGTTTTTTCTTAGTGAACAGTCAGTCCCTTAGGGCTCAATTCCCCACACTACTAGGAAAAGAGAAAACAACTTTTAAACGTGAGATATAGAAGTACAGTGAAAATTGATTAAAAATTACTAATATTAATATCCAGGAAACAGAAAATGGCAAAGCTAATGTACAGTATGCTTAAAATTAAAAACAATAATTAAATATGAAAATTGCTAATGCATGAAGTTTTGGGAGCAGATGGAGAAAGAGGAGAAATTAAAGTAAGCATAAAGAAACAGCAAGGGAGAAGGACTTCTGAAGGAGGAAAGTACATATTAGGGGGAAATAAAAAAATAGAAAAAACTACTCAAAAACAAGAAAATAATTAGCAGGTACATATATGAGTAGAATAGAAAATAACATCAAAGTTTTTTAATCGGTCAAGATCAGTTCTACTAGAAGCATAATAGGAGAAAGATAGGAGGGAACTAATAATTTTTAAAAAGGTAACAAAATTAGATAATCATGTGAAAATGAATTAAAAATGAAAGCTTTTCTTAGAAATTAGAAAAACCATTGGGATAGAGGGATGTCTCAGCAGGTAAACCTGCAATCAGGCCTGACAGCCTGAGCCGGACTCCTGGGACTGCCTCGGGTTGTCTCTGACCATCATGAGTGATTCATGGCATGAATGTGCAAAGGTGATGGAGCGGCAAAGCAGAAGTGTTGGCTTCTTTGCTGACCACTGGAAATTGGAGATGGCTAACAATGTGCAGAGACAGGACTGACTTTGTGGACTCTACATTGGACTCATGTCTATCACAGCTACCCTCACCTTAGTATCTTCCTGTCTTTTGTATATCAGGGGTCTCCACAGCTTAACTGAACACTGTATTGTCTGTGTACTGGGCAGGTTCTCCTACTATTTGGAAACTCTAGTTCCTAACCCATAGGGTGGCTAGTGTTCTGGCCCAAGAGTTTCTTTCAAGTGCCCTGGGAGAAGACAAAACAACCAGTGCTGAGATCTGCAAAGGCAAGCCTGCCTTCATTTTCAAGCATTAGTCACCAGCTAGGGGGATGTGGCTATAGACACCAGATTTGTCTACTATAGCTGTAGAGTTCTTGGACCAGATACATGAACTTCATGGCAAATAGGTGAATCCCCAAGTTGGTCTACCCACTGACCTCAGGCTCAGGGGTATCAGCTCCAGTTATTTTTAGTTGTGGAGGTCTTTTCCAGGGTCCTAGGCTGGGGCTAATGTTCTCTATACTTCACTGCCAAGTTATCTGTCACTTGTACTCTTAGTTAGTCAGTATATCACCCACCTGTTATCCATAACTGCTTCCCAGACTTGACTCTCACAGTGGAGCTATGACAGATTCAAGCTCTACTGGGACCTAGACCACAGCCCTCTGAGCCAGGGGATTTCTCTCCCACAGCTGACCCCTCCTGCCTAAAAGGCCACTCACTGTCTCAATAAGGGCTAATGAGGCTCATGAGAGCTGTAGGTTTGTCCTGTGGATAGAACCACCCAATGTCTTTTTTGATAGGGCACCTGGCTTATCTTTTGGATGTAGCTTCTGCTTCCTCTCCCTGAACCAGGGAACTGTATTGCTGGGCCTGTGTTTGCCTTGGCTTCTTTTTGCTGCATTGCCCATCTGTATTTCCATAGTTGCAGCTGCCCTATCATTCTGATTATTATTTACAAAATTTCTTCCTCTCTTCAGAACGAAGTCTAATTTTTTTATTTTCCTGACACTCACTAGTCCCCCATCTTATGCAGAAGTTGAAAGTATTTTCTCTGTTATTTTTCTGTGCTTCCCTGTATGTCTAAATTGTTTCACGTGAATTGACTTTAGTTGTTTGCGAATCCTTCTAATTTTTCCTTAATTAGGGGAAAATGGACAACCAAGAATATAAGGATGCATATGAATTTGCTGCAGATGTCAGATTAATGTTCATGAACTGCTACAAATACAATCCTCCAGATCATGAAGTTGTGGCGATGGCTCGAATGCTTCAGGTAAGGTGGTCTTCTTACTCATGGAGAAGGCTTCCCCAAGAGGCACAGACAACTTATTAAACTGCAGAAGTTTATCCTTTGAGTTATAACCTTTTTAGCTGCACATTTTTAAACGAAGTTGCCTACTTTGCAGAAGAAATCAATGAATGTTAGTGAGAGAGACCGGTTGATTCCTTGTGGGGTCTATTGAGCACCTGTCCTGCTCTAGAAAAGGTCTTAGTCTTGACTCACTGAAAGGTAGAATATATGTGACATGGCTTACCTTAACTCCCTAGCCCTTGAACAAAGGTTCCCTAGGTAACGGGAGAGGTTGGTACTGCTGAGAAATGAGGAAATTCATGGAGACAGACAGACAGAAACATCATCTTGCATTTCTTCTGGTGTTCTAAAGAAGCCTGCCTGCCCCAGATATGCCAGCATGTGTCCTTCTAAAGCATTCTTGTTGCACTAAGTCAGAAATGAAGAAAACCAAACCAGGTGGTACACATCTACAATCCCAGCGCTATGGAGGTGGGCAGGAGAATTTTGCATTCCAGGCTAGCCTGGACTACATGGTGGATTCCACGCTAGCCTGGACATGGTGAAACTCTGTCTCAAAATAAACCAAAAAAAAAAAAAATGTGAACAGGCTAATTTTCCATTATAGGATGTTTTTGAAATGCATTTTGCCAAGATTCCTGACGAACCTGTTGAGTGCATGCATGCATATCACCTTACAACCAACAGTGCAAAGGCCCTTGGCAGAGAAAGCAGCAGTGAGGCCTCCTCCGGGGACTGCTCGTCTGAGGATTCTGAGGATGAACGAGTGCGGCATCTCGCCAAGCTTCAGGAGCAGGTGGCCCAACGTGATGCAAGTGTTGGCGGTTCCTGAGCAGCCAGTCTGTGATGAAATACATCCCTTACTGTCTATATCTTTAGCTTCTTTCTGGCATGTTTGCCATGTTTAATGTTTCCGACTCAGATCTCTGTGGTATCCAATTCTAGAACCATTACTCTTTCCTCTCTTTGAAATTGTCTGGTATACCCTGATGTACTTGTCATGAACTTCTGATCCTTCTGCTTCTACCTCTCAAGTGCTGAGATTGTTGGTGTGTACCATGATGCCTGGGAATTTACAATTCTGTTGTTTGCATCCCTAGACTGAGTGGTTGATTCTTACTGAATGTCTTATGGTATAATGTGCGAACTTTTATAACTGATATAGCAAGTATCACTTGCTACTTTCTGTGATGAAACTAACTTTTCTGAGGTCATGCCTGAAGACTTGGTCTGGAGAGATGGTGCAGCAGTTACAAGCACTGGCTGTTCTTGTAGAGGACCTGAGTTCTGTTCCTAGCACCTGTGTCAGGCAATTTACAGCTACCTGTAACTCCAGCTCCAAGAGTTCCAATGCCTCTGGCCTCCATAGGCACTTTGTGTGTGTATATATATATATATATTCATTCTCTCTCCTCTCTTTCTCTCTCTCTCTCTCTCTCTCTCTCTCTCTCTCTCTCTCTCTCACACACACACTTATATATTTTTTTTAAATCTTTTGTTGTTGTTGTTTTTTTAGGACTGGGTTTCTGTGTAACTTTGGAGCCTGTCCTAGAACTCACTCTGTAGACCAGACTGGCCTCAGACACTCAGAGATCCGCCTGCCTTTGCCACCCGAGTGCTGGGATCAAAGGTGTGCGCCACCACCACCTGGCTATTTAAAAAAATCTTTTGAAAGAAACCTTAACACCTAAAAATGCTAACTGTTCCTGGGCTATGTTAATTTTACTACCACGATATTTATTTACTTGAAATGTTGGATTCAAATCTAGGACCTTGCACAGGCTAGGCAAGTGCTATGTTATTGAGCTATGTTTTCAACCTTCCTAGACCAGTTTAGGTTGAGCATGAGATAGTGTTTCTAGTTTTGTATATACCCTTCAAAACACTGGACTAATAAAGTGAAGCAAAATCCCGAAGGAAATAGAACATGAAATGAATTTCACAATGGGCGGGCATTACTTTGGAATACCATATTTTTCTAGTGTATTTAATGGTTTAGACCCATGAATGCTTAAAGGCTTTTGTTTTTTGTTTTTTTGTTTTGTTTTGTTTTTTGTTTTCTTTCCCAGCTTAATGCTGTTCATCAGCAGCTACAAGTTCTGTCCCAAGTTCCATTACGTAAGCTAAAGAAAAAGAATGAGAAATACAAAAGGGCACCAAAAAGAAAAAAGGTTAATAACAGAGATGAAAGTCCAAAGAAAAAACCTAAGCAAACAAAACAAAAGGAAAAGCCCAAGAGCAAGTAAGTATGTTTGGTGGGGATTGATTTTGCTAGGCGGTATCTTGGTGATAGATTGCAATTTCTAGCCTATGTGAGACCCTAGGTTTCATCTCCCTATCTAGATTGATTAAGATGAAATTAATACTTTTGTTATAGTCAACCAAAAAAGAAGCCACTTTTGAAGTCTGAAGATGAAGGCAATGCAAAACCCATGAACTATGATGAGAAAAGGCAGCTGAGTCTGGACATAAACAAACTCCCTGGGGAAAAGCTTGGGCGCATAGTTCATATAATACAGTCAAGGGAGCCCTCCCTGAGAAACTCCAACCCAGATGAGATCGAGATCGACTTTGAGACTCTGAAGGCATCAACACTTAGAGAACTGGAGAAGTATGTCCTGGCCTGTCTGCGGAAGCGGTCTCTGAAGCCCCAGGGTAGGCCAGGCCCCGCCCCGCCCCGCCCTGTCCCGCCAAGCCCCATCCCAGCACTCCCTCCAGGCCCTACCTGTTCTTGACCCTTATCATCCCATCCCACATAGCCCCTATCCCACCCGACCCCATCCCATCCCTCGCCGCCTGGCGGTGCTCCGCCCCACCCCTTCAGGCCACGCCCCACTCCTCCAGGCCACGCCCTACCACGCTCACCGCTGCCCCTCCTCTCACAGAGAAGAAAGTCGTGCGGTCTAGAGAAGAGCTCCATTCCCAGAAAAAGCTGGAGCTAGAGAGGCGTTTGTTGGATGTCAACAACCAGCTGAATTGTAGGAAACGGCAAACAAAACGTCCAGCAAAAGGTAGGTGGCGGTTTCTCAGAGCCCGCCCGTAACCCCTGACGGGTGTTAACGCCCTTCCTCCCGTTTTGCAGCGGAGAAACCGCAGCCCCGGCCACCGCCGCCACCCCCGCCACCCCCACCGCCCCCGGAGCTGGTGAGCGGATCCCGCCTGAGCGACAGCAGCAGCAGCAGCAGGAGCAGGAGTAGCAGCAGCAGGAGCAACAGCAGCAGCAGCAGCAGCAGCAGCAGCAGCAGCAGCTGTTGCAGCTCGGGGTCGGCGAGCAGCAGCAGCAACTCGAGCTCCTCCGACAGCAGCGATTCTGAACCAGGTTAGCCAGCCCCTAGGCGCCCGCGGCGGTGGGGGTGGGGGGAGTGGACTTTCCCTGTAGAGTCGTGAGACTACTTAGGAGAACCTGTGCTTTGGGAGCCATGGTCCTTAAGACGCATTACTCTTTCCTTGAAAGAAGTGCTGCATGAAAGGAAACGCCATAGATAGAGGATGTGATTGCAGGTCTGTCATGCCAAAGGCAGTCTGCTCCCTTACGGCCGGGCAGGGCGGTCTCATAGGAGCGTACTAGATTGAAAAGCAGACGCTGCTGCTTGAGCCCTTCCTAGATACCGAAAACTTTATTTGGGATACCTGAGTGTGCTCCCAGTGCATGCCGGGTCACCCTAATGTCCTGTTTGGACACCGCTTCTTGAGTTGAACTGTCATTTTGAATTAAGAAGCCACTCATCCCAAAATTTTTAGAACCTATATTTTCACCTTATCTGTAAATAGAATATTATCTTTCATCCATAGAAACATAGACGTACCATATTCTCCTGTACTCATCCCAAAATATGTAGAGCATATTTTTTTTTCCTTTTTCTGTTTCTTAAAAGATAAGTAGAAAATTATCTCTCATCTGTAGGAGAATAGACATACCATATTCTCTTGTGTTGAACCAGGTCGCTCATGTTTTGTTTTCCATTACTGGTTATGTAGCTGGTATGTAATCACTGCCCACCTCACCAAGATGCTGGCTTGGAAGTGCTGTTCTATTTTAACCAAACAGCAAATGCAGAATAAAGGGCATTTTCTTCCCTAAAATTTGCTTTATTGTAAATGTAGTTTCTTGTGAGGTTCATTCCTCCTTTTTAACTAAAAAGAACCCTACTGAAACTCCAGCTAGAGGAGTGGCTGCCATCTGTGAGGACACTGTTTCTGTAGTCCACAGGGTCTGCTGGCTTGCAGTGACTCTATCTTCCTCAGGTTCTTTCTTTTGCTTTTCTATGGAGCTAATTGCTGCATTTGCTTTTCACATTTCTTGAGTACATAGTGGTAAACAATTTTGTGAAATTCAAAAGAATTTTTACTTTGATTAGAATGTGTCATTCTAATACATTTTAAAAGTCATTTAGAGCTCTTTTATTATGACGTATTCCTTATATTTTACTTCTAAGCATAAAATAATACTGGAAAAAATCCAAGTTTCATTTAGCATTTTAAATTGTAACAGTTTACAATTGTAATTTCACCAAATAAAGCATTTGTGACCTAATAAGTTACAGCACTTTGTCTTTTATTTGTAGGATAAAACTATTATTCTATTTGTTTTAATTATTTAACCTTAAAAATTCAATAAATGCTTTGAGTGTTAGAAAAAATACCACATGTAGTTTTTTGATGTAGTCTTTACTATTTAGAATACCTTCTTTCCTTCCTTCTTATTTATTTGTTTGTTTATTTATTTACTTATTTATTTTGCCCTGCTCAATATATAGCCTGACCTTGCTTTGTAGACCAGATTGGATTGAAACTTAGCAATCCTGCTACCTCATCCTCCCAAATACTTAATAGAGTTTTCTAGTATATTACTTGAAGAAAATGTTTGTCACCAGCTCTATATTCTTAAAATGGTACAGTATCTTTTTTTTTCTAACTTTTCAATAGAACCGCTCATCCTCAGAATTCTAATCTTAAAATATTTATGAATTTGTATTTTATGACCAGTATTGTCATGTATTTCAAAGAGCTTGTTTTGTTCTGTGGTGTAGGGACTAAGGCTAGCTGACTTGTGCATACAGGGCAAGCACTCAGGGCTGAGCTATGTCCTCACTGAGTTTCCTAGGTTTGTCTGGAACTTACTCTGTATCCCAAGCCATTCTTGAACATGCAGAACAATTTTGTAAAATTGAACAGATTTTTTACTTTGTTTAGAATTTGTCATTCTAATACATTTTAAAATCATGTAGAGCTCTTATTATGAAGTGTTTCTTATATTTGACTTCTAAGTGTAAAATAATATTGGAAAAATTCAAGTTACATTTGTGACCCCAAGTAGTGAAGTCATAGGCCTGCACCCATAGACTGATATAGAAATTTTAAATATGTATATTATTAAAATAAAAGTAGCAAATTATCTCCCTTCCCTTGGTGCTGGACAGATTGAACCTGACTCTTATATAACATACCAGGCAAGCATTTTAAACATTAGCTGTGTGTAAACCTCAGCTCCATTTTTTATTTAATTTCAGACCAGCCTATGACTCTTGTGACTTGCTACACTTAGATTAGTTTGTCTTCTCAGTGGATACTGTAAATTGTCTTTTGCTGTTGCTAGAGATGGGATCTCACTGTGTAGCCCAGGATAGACTCAAATTCTTGTTATTTCTCTTGTAGCCTCCTGAGTGCTAGGATCACAGGCATGTGTTGCTGTACCTGGCTTGTCATTTATCCCTGAAATTTAATTATTTTTTAATATATTATTTATCTACTTTACTGGGAGAAAACCCCATTTAAGTGTATTACAAATTGCAAAGTCTACAATGAGAAAAATTACATCTTTGTTTTCAATAAGCAAATAAAGAATATGATCTTTTAATACTTTAATACTGATATAAATATTTAATCTCATACTAAATACTTTAATATTAAAAATAAAATTGCTTGTGTGTAAACTAAGTATATTTTTACTTCCCTGAAAATAACAAAAAAAGGCATGGTGGCATTTGTAACCCAGCATTCAGGAAGCTGAGGCAGGAGCCCTGTGAGTTTAAGGCCAGTGTGGACTAGTGATGACACCTTATCTCAAAAGCAAGGTTGTGATTTGTTTAGAATGGATACAGTTGGATATCATGATCCTGAGTGTCTAGGTAGCAAAAGCAACTTTTCTGAAAGCTTTTTGTTTTTGTTTTTTGTTTTTTGAGGGTTTTGTTTTTGTTTTTTGAAGATTTATTTATTATGTATACAACATTCTGCCTGCGTTTATCCCCTGCAGGCCAGAAGAGGGCACCAGATCTCATTACAGATGGTTGTGAACCACCATGTGGTTTCTGGGACCTGAACTCAGGACCTCTGGAAGAGTAATCAGTGCTATTAAACTCTGAGCCGTCTCTCTAGCCTAACTCTTCTGAAAGCTTTGACATACATTCTTTCTTACTAAGCTAATCCTTATTTTTTAATTTATCTTCCTTTTAATATTTGTCATGATGGATTTATTAAAGTTTTATTAGCATGTCAATTACATTTAGTAATGGGTTTAATATGACATTTTCATATATGTATATATTTTGATTATACACACCACCACCTCCTTTTATCCCCCTCCTACTCCTGCTCATCCCTATTCTCTTTCCAATTCTCCCTTCTATGTGAATGTGTGTCCTCTAGTGTGTGTCCCAGTGAGTGTGTGTTCCAGTGAGTGATGTCCCAGTGAGTGCCAATGAGGGAGAAAGTTTACCCTAAGAAAACAGGGCCACATGAGTCCCTTCCTGGTGGTCTCCATGAGTCCCTTCCTGGACTGAGGAAAATGTCTCTTCAATCCTTCCCTTTCCACAGCAGGGATCAATGGGCTGGGACCTTGGCTATAAGCAGTTTTGTTTTGTTTCCTTTAGTTAGACATATCTTTTAGGACTTTAGGTGTCTGGGCAGGGTCAGATCCCTCTCGGATCCCTTCAGTTTTTGTTCTTGCTACCTTGTGTGTGGGTTCTTTTACAGGAGTGTGCTGTTTAGTTGTGGCAAACATTTTAAAGGTAATGTCATAGTTAGAATTTCTGTTTCTGTGAAAAAACACCATGTCCAAAGCAAATTGGGGAGTGAAGGGAAGGGTTTATCTGGCTCACACTTCCACATTGTAGTCCATCACTGAAACAAGTCAGGACAGGAACTCAAGCAGGACAGGAACTTGGAGGCAGGAGCTGATGCAGAGGCTGTGGAGGGGTGCAGCTTACTGACTTGCTCACCATGACTTGTTCAGTCTTCTTATAGAACCCAGGACCCCCAGCCCAGGAGTGGCCCCACCCACAATGAGCTAGTCCCTTCCCCATCAATTCTAATTAAGAAAATGTTCTATAGGCCTGCCTACCACATAATCTGATGGACGCATTTTCTCAATTGAGGGTCCCTTCTCTCCAGTGACTTGTTTCAAGTTGACATAAAACTAGTAACCAACCCTTTGTCAGTTTGGCACATAAGCATATCACTATTAAGCCACAACCTTTTCTTTCTTGTTCATCCCCAAGATCTCACATTAATATGAACATCATAATATAAAATATTCCAAAATTTTAAAGTTCCACAGTCTTTAAAAGTCCGAAGTCTCTTATCCAGACTTCCTTTTGAAACCCTAAGTCTTTATAAAACTCCAGAAAGTTTAGTCTATCAACTGTGGGATCTTGTAAAATAAAAAATAATTTCTCACTTCAAGAGGGAAGGACAAGGGCACAGTTACAACCAAATAAAAGCAAAACCAAACTGCACTCATGACCTCCTATGCTCCTTCAAAGGGCTTGGGTCAGCCACCCTCTCAGCACACACAGCCGTCTTCTAGGCTCAGACAGGCTCCCCTCCACTGCTACTGTTCTTGGTGGCCATCTCCATGGTACTGGCATGTCAAATGCCTGGATCCCTGCTGCAACTGGGCTGCATTTTGACTAATAGCCTTTCCTCTTCATAATGCAAAGCCTCAATTTCTCTACAATGGCCCCTTCAATCCTGGAGCTGCAACTACAGCTTGGGTTGCACCTTCACCAATGGCCTCTCCTGGCCTCTCAGAGCCGAGCCACAGCTTCTCCCCATGACCCCTTCTTGCCATCAAAAAACAGTACCACCTAGGTGTCTCTTACGCTACCAAGGTCAGCTGCCAGCACAAGGTACAACCTTGATCACCCCTGGAACACAGCTTGTGTGTGCTGACTCTGAGGGGACACCTGCAGAAGATTTCACCTCAGTGAGTGATGCTGGTCTCAGTCACTGCTAATTTCTTAGCCCCAGTTGACCAGCATCAATTGTTTCAGCAAAGCAAAGGCTTCAAGTCAGTGGTTCTGATTCTTCAGCCCCAGATGA